GTAAAAAAACCAAAAACTTTAAACAAGCCCTAAGCGATAGAGAAGCATGTCTCAGGCCAAGTGGATGGGGAAGATAAGAGCATCCAGGTTGTTATAAAGCTTTGCAGAGAACAAGATGCTTAAATTTAACATAGAAGGTAAAGGAAAGCTTGAAAGATTTGAAGAGGGACTTACTGTGGTCAGCGCAGTAGGCAAAGTCAATGGAGAGTTTGAGAGCTGGGGTGTTCCATCCTGGCAACATGGCCAAAGAGCAAGCAACATCACTTTTGAATATAATGAGTGAATGAAGGAAAGCCAGATCTCTGATTTTCTGCAAAATGTCAATCTTGCATACCACTTTACATATGAAGTGGTGTTGTAGCCGCATTGGTCCCATGATATTCAAGACACATGGTGGGTGAATTAATATCTTTTATTGGACCAACTTCTGTTGGTGAGTTGGTCCCATAAAAGATATTACATCACCCATCTTGTCTCTCAAACCACTTTATGCTCAGGAATGTCTCTAGCTGCTCCAAGTCTGCCTGTCAGAGGGTGCAGATTTCTGACTTGTATAGTGATAAAGTTAGTACACAGGTTTGACAGATCCTGAACTTGTCTCAGTGCAAAGATGTTTTTGCATCCAAAAGCGAGATATGGAGTTGATGCAGAAAGCAGGGAGAACTATTTCTCAAGAAATGTCTGGCTTGCTGCAATTGTTTCAACTCTCCTTGCGGCCAGGTAGAGAGGAAGACATTGCAGTAGTCAAAATGAGAAAGTCAGGGCTTGGGCAGATTCTAGAAATTATGTCAAGGAAAAATTGGCAGGATTTGGAGGCGTGTAAAATGGTTTGAGGAAACAGATAAGAGGGGAGCTGAAGATAAAAAGGTTGAGAGACAGGCAGGGAGGCCAGAGCAATTGAGAAGGGAGGGGGAAAAGAGTTCATTTTTGCCATTTTTTGTTTCATTTGATGCCAAAGCACCCTTTAAGCCCTGGAATGATCAGAGACCAGGTTATCTGAAGTGCAGTTGCTAGTCCTACACCCAGGTGGTCATTAAGATCAGTTGGGGGTGTTTTTAATTGTCTGTTTCTTCAGCGCAGGGTCCCTGCCTTTGGCACTCACTCCATATGGCAATCTGCAAGAGCTTGGGTTTGATGAGCTATGGGGGATAATGCAAGATTTACTTTGTTTAGTTGAACACCCTATTAAGCATTCCCATGAAAACTTCCTGAAATGAAATGTTGACTGTTCTAATTTTTTTATATCTCAGCCCAAGTCAGAACTGCCCTTATGCTCCAGAATTAAGAGTTTCAATCTACAATGCTAGTGCTCTGGTGACAGTCAGAAAGGGGGTGGAGTTTGCTACAACAGATCAGCTCACCTGCAGAAAAACAGCAAAAATTTCCAAGCAGGGTCCTTCCAGGGAGGTACAGACTTGACACTGGTCTCAACAAGTAAACATTGTACTTCCAAAGTACAGGCTGGTAATTTGAGTCATAGAAAACTTGGGTATTAAGTTGTTACACGTCTTAAGTATTATCATCTTCAAGTTTGGGTATTTTTGAGAGTCAAAAAGTAAGACTACAGTTTTATCTTTTAAAAACCTATGTCATTTAGATTATCTAAACACCAGATAATGTTTTATTTGCTCTATATTAGAAATAAGCCTTTCACCCCATAGCTAGATTTTTGTGAGTAATCTAGTTTTTCCTGAGGCCTTCATGACTTGCAATATGAGAAGGTGAGGCTTAACGGATCTGAAGAGACCCCCACTGCTCCTCACATATCTACCTACTTATCGTGGGGGTGTCAGGGAAGAGAAGTCCTAGAAGAAAAACAAGAGCTGGGAATAGAGTGAAAAAAATTAAGACATTATAGATATGTCAAATGTTGATAAATCTGATCCTTTATAATCAAAATTTACCCTGACTGAGCAACAGTACTTTCAAATATACCTCTACCTCGATACAACGCTGTCCTCAGGAGCCAAAAAATCTTCCCGTGTTATAGGTGAAACCGCGTTATACTGAACTTGCTTTGATCCACTGGAGTGCGCAGCCCCGCCCACCCAGACCATTGCTTTACCGCACTATATCAGAATTCATGTTATATCGGGTCGCGTTATACCGGGGTAGAGGTGTATCTTCCATGACAAAACTCATTGCTCTAGCCACTGTACTAAAGTCTTGAAGTTTCTCACTTACTTTCATCTCACACTGGAAGAAATGATTAATAATCAAAGGACATATTGAGCAGCAATCAATTTTCAGCTATATTTAATGTAAGGCTGTTATGCCATTTGCAGCTGACAGTACTTCCCTGCACCTTTAAAATTCAATTGTATTTAAAACTGAACTCTATGATAGCAATACACACTTAAATGTCTTTGTGAGCTTAACTAGGACCTGCTACAAAAACCTAACATGTGCCAGTTATATACACACTGTGAAATAAAATTATCTGTGTAGCAAACACAGTACTAACACAAGAAACCAACTTCCTACACCCACTGAAATAGCAATTTTCACAGTTAACTCACTGTGTAATTACAGCAAATATATACCCCACCACGCAAAAAACATTTACTCAAGGATACAGAACCACCACCACCACCTAAATGTCCCTGTGCTCATAAAGAATCCTATTATGGCTTTCATGCCTGTTTTCTTTAAGTAAAGGACACGCTCAAAGTAGTTTACTAAAGGCTGATCCCCACACAAAGTTAAACCAGTACAACTTCTGTATGTACACAAGATCCATGTTTGAAAAATATTCTCACTACCAAGCCCCTTCAGCGGCGTCACCCTTTCTTCAACAAAAACAGAAATCCAGAGAAATTTAACATACGATTACTATTAAACTGGACCTAAAGCAAAAACTGAAACTATAGCTGTTTATCCTGGAACAGAGAAGAATCAGACTAGTGAGCCCTCAAACTTTCCCATAAGGGGTCACGAATTTTAGTAGCGAATTAGCACATGGACACCTCTCCATCCTATTCACGATTCCACAGATCAAGCTCTCACCCATGACACTGGCACATCCCAGAGCCCGGGGGCGAAAAGCAGAGAGCGACCCCTGCCCACCCCTGAAGTATCAACCACTAGGCTCGTAGGAAGACAAGACAACGATTTCTGCCCCTGTAACTCCCCATACCCCGCCCACGGGTCTCACACACACCCCTTCAGAGAGAAGGGAAACACCCCTTCGCCCCCGGTTTCCCACCAGGGTGGGGCATCCCGGGGATCCTGTCCCCAGGGCCTTGCACTCTCGAACCGCAGAAGCGGGGAGGGGCGCGCCGGGATACGGCCGAAAGGCGCCAGCCCCTGAGCGCGAGGGGAAGGCAGGCCCAGTCCACGCCCGGTACCTGCAGGCCCGACTCGGTCTCGCCTCGCTAACGCCGCTTCCTGCTCTACTGGCCCCCCGAGCTGCAGCAGCAGCGAACGGCAACAGGCGGGGCAGAACGTGCGCGCTCACAGGAGAACAGAACAGCACAGCGCGTGCGCGCCGCCGCCGCCGCCGCCACCTGAGCCAATCAGCGCAGTTGGCGAAAGGGCTGCCGGGAAGCGGCGCTATAAAAGTCCGGGAGCTATTTACGCCGCCTGTACCCACTGCCGTTCTCGCACCTGCGCACTTGGGCCGAGAAGGATCGAGGCTGATAGGGGAAAGGAGCCGCCTGCGGGACAGGATCCTGGACTGGGAGTCCGTGGGGGTCTCCTAACAACGGGAAAGCGGGAGCGCCGCACGGCCCGGCTGGTGTTATCTGGCACTTGGGGTCGGCAACTTGGGCGGGGCTAGAGCTGCGGGGGCGGGGCTCTGTCCTGTACGGGAAGCTGCTCTCCGTGTCTCCAGGCCCCTTGGTGATCCGTGCCTTGCACCTGCGCAGCGGAGGGCGGGGCTGGGCGCGAGGTGACTGCGGCGGCCATGTCGCTGCAAGAGGACCCGGTGCAGCGCGAGATCCACCAGGACTGGGCCAACCGCGAGTACATCGAAGTGATCACCAGCTCCATCAAG